AAGTTAGTTTAACATAGCAGCTAATGCATGGTAGGAAGTCTGAATTCAGTATTAAACAAATAATTTCGATAAAATATGCACCCACTAACCATGGTCAGTGATGAACTGGAAAATAGACATCCTAAAAAGTATAATTCGGTAGAAGAAACATTTTGGGAAACGGTGGTTTTATACAAAATTACCTACCGCTTAGCGACCACCTGGTGAGCCAGTGTCGAAAATTTACCAAATACACTACCATTTCCCAAGGTTCTTCTTTTATCGAATAATTAGTAATATTCACAAATTTAAAACATATAAATATTTTCCGTTATCTTTTCTGAGACATGGTCCTTGCTGTATTCCAGTTACATAAACAGTTAAAGTCAGCTTCTTTATCCTTACCAAGATTTTATGCATATTTTGAAGTTCGCGATGACAACTGAAAATGTTCCCTACGTGATTTCTAAAACACTACCTAGTGACGCTCCTAATACTTGTTTCAAAAACTTAACATAGGGACACGAACAAAAGCCAATCAACATCTTTTGGCAAAAGGCCATGAATCTCAAAATTTTGTGGCAGCTTTGCAAATAAGGACCTTTAATCCAATCATTTCAAGTTGTTAGGTACTTTTTAACATCGTGTTCCTCCTTGCAGGATTCCGTTGGCTTGAGGGAATTCGAACTATCTGCAAGATCACACTTGCATGATGTGCAGCATTTGCAGGAAACTGTACAGTCTTGCGAAGTTTCTGGCATTAGCAATCTAGCAATAGCAATGCAATTTGATACGGTAAGTTAAGGTTTGCATGTGTTGAGGATTACGAATTTTAACCATTGATGTGCAGTCGAACTACGAAAATGGAATAATGTACACACATTATGAAATATAGCCATGAGTGGTGTTAACAGAAGTACTTTAACATAAAATATGTAATGGTGCGATATATTTATATATATATCAGTAAGTGGGGTATGACGGCATTTGGGGGTAACTTGATGCAGAACTGTTTCGGGCTTATTGCTTCATCAGCCAAGCATAACCCTGAACACCAGCTGGTCGGACAACACAAACACACGCCAAGCATAACCCTGAACACCAGCTGGTCGGACAACACAAACAAACGCACCTACAGACGGCGCAGTTGGTCCAGCACTGGTATCTATCAGATAGGTCATAAGAACTTCATCGAACCACAGTTCATCAGCGCCTCGCCACCTGCCATTTGTTGTCACTGCCG